ACTCTGGGTAAGAGCGCGCAGCGGGCTCGGGGTGCTGGCAGGGGGCTAGCGCGCCGTGGCGCGTGTGAGTGGGCGTCCAAGGTGACAGCTCGCGCCCCTGGCCCGATCAGGCAGCTCTCGCCCTGGCCGTCCAGCCTTGCCGTCCGCCGGCGCGCCCCTCGGCCGCCGGCACTTCTTCATTCCCCACTTCACCGCTTACCCCGCCGCCCCAGAAGTGACGTCACCACGGCCCTCACCCGCCCCCGGTGCTCCGCCGTCCCTCACGCCCCTCCTCGGGTCACCCCAACCCCAGCCATCTTTCTTCCGGGCGGAAGTAGCCTAACCGGCGCTCGGTCCCCTTAAAGGAGCAGGGACAGCAGGGACGTTGGTGTTAAGCTTGGGGTCAAGAAGCAAAGCGACCTGAGCAGAGGTGAGTCGTTTATTGGAGCGTGGCCGCTCCGAGGTCGGTTGTCGAGCCCAGGAAGACTTGTTAAGTGTTTGAGCGCTTGGTTTCCGAGCGCTGGATGTGTGTGTGATGCTTCTGTGGGTGAACAGTCCCTGGTTAACTTCGTGTGCTGCCTGCACCTCTGCTTTGGGGCCACCTCTTTCATCACGTCCCCCTCCGTGATCGGAGCAGCGGAGAACTTGGGCCCCTAGTGTCAGCAAAGCAAAGCTGGGCGGGAACCGAGTCCTGGGATGCCAAGTCCCCCCTCCTTGGATCCTTCTGGGTCCTTACAGTTCCCGGGCCGAAGTAGGGTTAGCAAGCAGTTAACAATAATCCACACGTTGGGAAGCTGTGCAGCCATCCAGATGAGAAGTGTTTGATATGCACTGACATGGGGCTACTTCCAAAATACCTTGGATGAAAAATGAAAGCGTTGGGGGTGTGCTGTGCCTTTAACATGGATGAAACACCGTGTGCATCTTTCCACAATGTCAGAATTCATTGAATAACAATAAATTCACAGGCTACACCACTTTCATCAGTGGCAGTTTATGGGATACTTGTAGGTGACCTGGTAGTTATAAGCTGAGTAATCATGGGTTCTTTTATTCCAATCTTAATTTCTAATATCTGAACACTCAAGTTACATATCGCACTTTACACAAATTGTATATATACACACACATGTGTGTATATGTGAGTGTGTAACAGAAAGGCCAAGAAAGTGTTAAGGCCACCACAGGGGTTCAGGAGGCTGAACTGAGAGCAAAGGCAGAGAGCAGATATGAATTCATTGTTGTTGGTTCAGAGTGCAGAGCTGTCAAGGCACAGCAACTTATTCTAGACCAAGGTCCAGAAGGAGGCAGTTTCACAGTGTCAGCTTGATATGCCAGCTTAGAGTGGGATATGCATGGTCATTATGTGCAAGAGAAACTGCACACTGCTGATGGAGTTTTTGATGATTGTTTCTGTAACAGTTTTCCTGGGCAAGGCTAGTAACAAGTGACCAGGTGACAGGGTCAGGGTGCTGCCATGTCCAGTCCTGGGGAGCTCCTTCTTTTACTGGTCTGAAATGAGGGGTTTGCATCTGGTAAGGTTGATGCGCTCCAATGTTTGATGTTCCTGTTATGATTTGGGATATCCACATGTCCAGGTACTCCTTAATTCAGATGGATATGTTGGCATGTATAAGTTATTTATCAATTTGTGCCTATAGTGGTGCCAGACAGATGGTACTTGTTTGCTTGTAGAAACAAGTTGTGGAGTCATTCCACCCGAGCCCTTAAATTCAGAATGGAGTAGCTCATGGCAAACTACTGCTTTACAAAGTGTAGTAACAAAGGTTTAAGCACAGCCTGAAAACTACTGTTCACCACATTGTGGAGTGACTCGGTGCGGAGCACAGCCTGCTGTCCACAGAAGGAACAGGAAGAACATCATTGAGCAGGACTGTGATTTGTGTTCTAGGTGATCTGTGGATGTGATTGTGAGTGTCTGCCAGGTGTGTGCATCAGTTGTCTGATGAGATGTACAAGTTGTTGACTAGTTTCTCACCCAGGAGCCCTGGTTGCATCCCACCTTGTGTGCATGTGGTTGTGAGATGTCCAAGTTGTTAACTGGTTGCTTCACACAGAACCGGGTCCTGGGTACCTCCGCAAGGGGGAAGCACTTACTACCTTTTGCACAAATTGATTATCCAAAATGAAGTGCTGAGGTCCCCTGTGGAGCCAAGGCCTTGTTTCAGCTCTCCTGCTGGGAGGTCTTGTTTTCCCCTTTTAATACAGGAGGAAAGGGCCCCAGGGAGGGAAGGGAATTTAGCAACCTCAGCCAGGAAGCAGAGAGGCTGGGTTGGAGCACAGGAAGATTTTACAGTAGTGCCGGTCTGTGATCCCTCTTGTCCTGCTCCCTACTGGGAAGCTGCTTTGCTGTCATCATGTGGGGCTGGCTCAGGACGGGCATCCAGTAGCTTCTTATTGCCAGAACAAGCGAAGCGGATGGAGAACAGGCCTGTAATTCCAGCAACTGGGACAGCTGAAGCAGGAGGATTGAAAGTTCAAGGCCAGCTTGCGCAACTTAGCAAGACACGGGTCTTAAAATAAAAATTAAAAAACCCCACAAAAACAATGAAAAGGGCCGAGGCCATAGCTTAATGATAGAACACCCCTGGGTTCAACCCCCAGTACTGGGGAAAATGAAAAAAAAAAAAAAAAGAAGAAGAAGAAGAAAGAAAGAAAAAGAAGGTTGCCTAAAGGGAACTCCCAGAGCAGGTCATTGTCCTCTTCCCCAAGAGAGGCTGTGGGCCCCTCAGTGTGTCCCTCAGTACCCTGGGGTCATCAGCACTGAAGTGTTGGAACCTACTGCGCACCTGTCAAGCTGCCAGAGGCTGAAGGTCAGGTGAGAGCAGGGTGCATGCTCAGTTTCTATCCTGTGAGTCTACAAGGGCAACCTGGCAGCTCATGGTGCGTAGAGGTCCTTGGGTTCACAGAGGAGGGGGCTGCACCTAGCTACCCTAGCTAAAGTCAGAGAAGGCTCCCAAGGGAGGTGACTTAATTTGCAACAGAAAGTGTTTGGAATGTCTGGAAGGGGTACCGAGGAGGCTGGAGACACAGGAGCTCACAGGGCTCATCCCCTGCCCTGCCTCAGGGTTACCAAGGGGCTGTCAGAAACTGGCAGGAGGCAGGTCAGAGGATGCCATTTGGCTCCTGCGTGACTCATCTTTTTCCTTAGAACAGTGATTTCCCACCCTCAATCTCCCAAACCTCCCAAGGGCTGGCTCCTGACTTTCTAATCCAGGTGGGGCGACAGAGGAGCACAGGACAGCTAAAGGCACTAAGGAAGTTCTTCACCCTGCTTCCCCCACCCCCATCTCTGCCAGTCCCCAGAGCAGCCGTCCTTGCTGACGCAAATCAAGGTGTCCAGTCTCAGGATTGGAGGTTCCTCTGTCCTGACTGTCTCCAGCTGCCCGGGTTCTCAGATGGCACGTGTGCCAGGACACCTAGATGGCCAGGAGCAGGCTTGACCCCTGCTTCTGCAGCCATCAGGCTAAATTACTCCAGCTGTAGCAGGACAGGGCGTCCCTGCCATACCTGTCCTAATAGACCTGGGCCACATTCCACTCCTGGAGGGCACTGCCAGCTCCCTGAAAAATCTCCAAGGGCACATCCCTCTGCCTCATTCCTGCAGAGCTGGGAGCTTTGAACTTCCAGCTGGGGACCTCCTGTGCTTTTCTGGGACTCTGGGTAAGTCCTTTCCCTGCTCTGAGCCTCATTTCTCCCCCTAGAAAACGGATGGGCCCTTCTCAAAGATTCCCGCCAGGCTCCATCATGTATGAACCTGCCCTTGGGAGTGAGATTTTGATTTTGGATCAAAGGGAATAAAGGGTGGGAGGCCTGCTGTTTGTCTCACTGGAGTCCCCGCCAGTCCCCTGTGGGCTAGGAACCTGCAGTCTGAGCCTCAGAATCTATTTCTCTGTGCTCCAATTCCCAAGTCAAGGGAACCAGGCCTGTCACTGTACTGCTCAGATCCCCCCAGGCTGTCCTTTCCTTAGGGGTGAACAATTGACTCAACAGGTTTTTACCAAACATTTGTCTTTGGGAACTCTTATTGATCCAAAAAAAGAAAACAAGAAAAAAATCTGGATTTACTATCTCATAAGAGACTTTCTTGTGTCATTAAACAAATGTTCTTAGAAAGGTTATAGGTTTAATTTCTTGTTGTTTTGTTTTGGTACTGGGGATTGAACCCAGAGGCATTTTACCGCTGAGTTATACCCCACTATTTTAAGACAAAGTCCCACTAAGTTGCTCAGGGCCTCCCTAAGTTGCTGAGGCTGGCTTCAAACTTGCAATCCTCCTGCCTCAGCCTCCTGAGTCACTGGAATTGCAGGTGTGCACCACCGAACCCAGCTGAGCTTTTTATTTTATTTTTTTTCTTTCCCTCATTTAGTGCTAGGGATTGCGCGGGCGAGGTAGGCTCTCTACCTCAGAACTCTAATCCCAGGCCTGGTTACTGCATTGTCATCCCAGGGCTAGTTCATAGTGAGCTGGGGCCATTTTTTCCCACACTAAAGCTTCAGTCCTGGAATAGACCTGTCCTGCCCCCTTCTATAGAGGCACTGCATTGTCTCAGCGACTGGGAATCACCTGGCATCCTTCAGTGCCTCAGATAGCGGCCTGTGAAAAGCCGCCTCACCCAAACACCAGGTTGCGCTGTAGAGGAGTCCAGAACCAAGGTCCTACTTGTCCTCCTTGATGTAGGTGGTGGGAGGCCAGCCTGTCTGTCCTGCAGAGTGGAAGCTGGACAAGGGATGGCCCTGTCCCTGAGGGGCTGGTGGTCTCCTGTAAGAAGGGGAGCTAATAGTGGTGGCTGCGCTCACCTCCTTAGAAAGGGGTCTGGGGTGAGAGTTTGGACTTTAGAAAGAAATGAAGAGCAGCATGGGCCCAGCTCAGTGCTCTGGGCTGAGTGAGGTTTTTTTTTGTTCTGCTCCGGAACAAAATAGGGACAATAAAACCTTCTTTATAGGTTGGGGCGCTATAGCTGCACCCAGTCCCGCCGCTCACCTTGTTATGGGACAATTAAGTAGAGAAAAGGCGTTTTAGCAGGGAAGGTAAACTTTACTCAGAAAGCAGGCTCAGCTGGGCATAGTGGCTCTCGCCTGTGATCCCAGTGACTCCAGAGGCTGAGGCAGGAGGAGCGTGAGTTCGAAGCCAGCCTCAGCCACTTAGCAAGGCCCTAAGCAATTCAGGGAGACCCTGTCTCTAGATAAAACATAAAAAAGGGCTGGGTGTGGCTCAGTGGTTAACCGCCCCTGGGTTCAATCCCTGGTACCAAGGGAGGAAAAAAGCAGGCTCAGCCAGAGGATGAAGGACCCTTGCCCAAAGTCTGTCTTTCCAGAAACCTCTTTAGGGGTGGTTAGTACAGGCTTTGATGGGTGTCCCAGCTGGTAGGTGTCTTTCACTGCAGGTGACCTAGATGATGAGCATCTG